CCCTCGCCCCCGCCCTTATCCTCCCTCTCATGTCCTCTCCCGCCCTCATGTCCTCTCCATCCCTCATGTCCTCTCCCTCCCTCATGTCCTCTCCCTCCCTCATGTCCTCTCCCTCCCTCATGTCCTCTCCCGCCCTCATATCCTCTCCCTCTCGCCCTCATCCTCCCTCTCATGTCCTCTCCCTCCCCCCATGTCCTCTCCCTCATGTCCTCTGACTCTTCTGTGAAATCTCTGACCTCGGCCTTTTTGCGTTTTAGCACGTTTGGCTTCTACACGGTGAAGATCGGTCCCGGCTTGAGACTGGTGTCCCTCAACATGAACTACTGCGCCAGCGAGAATTTCTGGCTCCTCATCAATTTCACGGACCCCGCCGGGCAGCTGCAGTGGCTGGTGGGAATCCTGCAGGAGGCAGAGGACAACCATGAGAAGGTGAGGAGCGTTTCCAACCTCCTGGGATGGTAAACCTAAGTCTATGGGATGAGGAGTATGAAATGGCTTTGCTTGGGGAAAATGCTGATTCAAGCTTCCTGCAGTACTTAGTTAGAGGTCACTTGTCTCTCGATCGTTCAATGCCTTGTGCAGGGGGTGTTGTGCGTTGTTCCCCCAGTCCTTACTCCCGTGGCTCCATGGGACCTCAGTCTTGTTGTCTCGCCCCTTTACACCGATCGGAGATATCTCTCTCTCTGCTTTTGCTAGGTGACCATACTGGTGACCATCACTTCTGGTTTCTATATTGGCGGCCTTGACATACAACAAACCCTTCCTTGTTCTCCAGGAGGAGATCCTGAAGCCTAAGGCCTTCTTTCTTCTTAAGGTGGACTCTACTTTCCACTTTAGTCCGGACATTATGTTGACATCCTGATGTAAACCTGAGACCCCCCCTGAGGAAATGTCCCTACGTTGTCTGGATGTTGCTGGGGGTCTACGTCTCAGAAACTTCTGCTATTCGCAAGTCTGACTCCCCGTTTATTTTTCTTGAGGATCTCCACCTGGAGCAACCAGCTTCCCATCCCACCATTGCTAGGTGGAGTTGTCAGACCATCTCAAAGGCCTGCAAGCCCCAAAAAAAGGCTCCCCCCCCCCCCTTCCTGGTCATGGCACAGTCCACTAGAAGTTTCTGTCTCTCCAATCTGTAAGGCCACCACCTAGTCCTCAGTTCACACTGCTTCCAGATATGACAGGTGAGGGCCTTTGGGTGGCAGTACAGCACAGGTGAGGGGCCCACTGCCACCCTTGGGTCCCTCCTCCGTGTCATAATGCCACCCCTAAGCCTCTCAACTCTCTCATACTGCCACTCTTGGGCCCCTCATCTGTGTCATATTAGCACTATTGGGCCCCTCGCGTGTGTCATACTGCTGCCCCTAGGACCTTCAACTGTGTCATACCGCCGACCCGTGGCCCTCTCACCTGTGTCATACTGCCACCCGTGGGCCTCTCACCTGTGTCATACTGCCACCCGTGGGCCTCTCACCTGTGTCATACTGCCACCCCTGGGCCCCTCACCTGTGTGATCCTGCCACCCCTGGGCCCCTTTTGTGCCTTACTGCCACCCCTGGTCCCCTCACCTGTGTCACAGTTCATTTTTTAATGTTCTTTACAAACCTCTTCTGTGGTGAGGAGATCAGAATGATCGGATGTATGAGATGGAGGATTCTATGTGATCAATGGATGAAATATATTGATGGATCCGGATGTGTAGAGATGAACGATGATCCCCGCCATTGTCTTCTGTGCCCACTAGGGGGCAGCCTCGTACTTTGTCTTCATGAAGGTTCCGCAATGTCCTGAGGATCGGAGACTGCTCCGGACAGCGAGGGGTTAACGCAACACGAAAAGTAGCAATGTAACTTCCTCCGTCACCCTGCAGAATAATCAGCTGCCTTAGAATATTGAGCTACCTGCAAAATAGTGAGCTACCTGCCGAGCAATGACACCC